TTGTTTAACATTGCTCTGGAGGTGTTATGCAGCCTTTCTCTGTCAAACATACTTGCTTTGCATAAATCGGTGTTCCCTAGACACCATATCTGATGAATTAGTGACATAGAAAATAGCAACCGACATGTCGGGGCCTGTCCTTTGAGCCCTGCACTGCTTGGCTAGTGTTTCCATTGTGTTTTTTTCATCACCATGCTCTGTAGCTCCCTCACAGATGGGAACACCTGAAAATCTAAATTTAATGACATATGGGTCAATGAATGCATGCATGAATTTAGATTGACCTTAAGATATCATTATGTTATCATTATCAAGCATCACAGGTCAATCTTCCAGCAACAGGGTCTAATCCTTGTCATACAATCACATGGATTTGTAATTAGTCGAATAAAGCATCTCTTGTGAATGAAAGGGGTGGCACTGACTTGCAAGATAAAAGCGGAGCATAAAGCTTTGATACTGTGCCCAGTTCTCTTTGTTTTAGTCTGCTATGAGCTTGCCTGTGAAATGTGGAAAATCAGAAGTTCGGCGTATTATCTTCAGTCACGGGATAACTGCATGACCCTGGGTGAGGTTGCTGGCTGACGTTTTTCCAGGAACAGCTGGAACTGTTGCCAAGCATGTACTTAGTGTTATCTCAGGTGAATATCAGGGAGCCCTTCCAACCCGCCAAAACCAATGTCAAACCCTGTTTCTCTTTCTGGCTGCATGGTGCAGGATTAAGCAGAAACCCTGAGGTCATGGAGTCCAACCTCCTCCTGTGATGTGGCCTGTGATGACAGCTGCCTTCAGACACCTCCTGAACCTTGAAAACCCCCTTGCTTGAAGGGGTTTAGCTTTCTGCCCCGTGTTACTTAGAGTAAAAGGGTAACTCTACCCGCATTACTCTGAGAGTTACCAACGCCCTGGCTAAATTTATTCATGGCTGTTTTCTGCCCGTATTTTCTGTCATTAACATTAACCCTTTAGTGCAGGGGCCATGTACCCCTCTGAGGTGTGTGGCCTTCTGGTGCATTTGTTGACCATCATCCTTCACATTGCTGGGCTGGTATATTCAAAACTGGGGGCCACGGTGTGACGGGCACCATGTCACTGCTGCCATCAAGGAGGGCTCCCTCCCTCCTGGGCTGCCATGGCCCAGCCCCATGTGCCGGCAGGAGGGCTGAGGAGAGTCACCCCCCCAAAAACGTGATGTGCTGGGGAAGCAACATCCCAGACCCCAAGGAAGGACCAACATGGTTTCAAACTACACATCCTGGCTCCGCCATGTCTGCCAGCCCTGCGTGGCCGTGGGGGAGCTGCTTCAGCTCCAGCACAGAGGGCTGCTGGCAGCCTGTGGCCCTTCATCTTGGTGGCTTTTTTTTTTTTCCAGAAGGGGATTTATTTAGAGGGGGGTTTGGTGGCTTTTTTTTTTTTTTTCCCCCTCCTATTCTCCCATTTTGAAGTTCTGGGAGTGATGCGCCATTAACAGGGAGGAGCACCCCATCGGAGATGCTATCGTCACCTTCACCAACAAAAGCTCGAATTTTGACAATGCTAGCTTGCTGGGTCCGATCACATTGCCCACCACCAGCCCCAGCACGGGCAACACAACACAAGGACTGCCGATGCTCAGGCCGCTCCCAGGCAAGTGCGTAATTTAAACAGCATCAAATAGGCGCCCAAACTGGCCCAGGGGAACGCCGCTGCCCCTCTCCCGGTTGCTCACCGGCTGCCAGACCCCTCCCA